TATGAGAGGAAGGTTTTGGCTGTGTTATTGTTTAACAAGACTGCTATTGCATAAACACTCAAGTGTTAGCTATAGCACTGTTACGTGGTGCATGTCTACTGCCAGAGGTGCTTGAACAGTGCTTTTTACCATGAAAGCACCCTTAAGTGCCCACAGAGTGAAGTCTGTATATAAATAATCGTCTGTTTATTTATTTATTTTTAAGTATTTTTCTAATGATATTAATGTTCACTTGTCTACCTCAATGTTTTGTGTCTCTCTTTCTTCATCTGGGACTCACCTTAAGCTTACATACTTATAAATCATTCCTTGATCTTTCCCACAATAACTGCTCACTAGTTTTGCCTGCCCTTGTTTTCAAATTGCAAGTGGCCTGCCTGAGTTATTCATTAAAGATTTTTCATGCATAAAATATCTTTCATGTAGTTGTTTCAAGGACAAACAGATAATATATGGTAAACAAATGCTAGAGCACTCAGTAATGCTCAATAATTTTTAGCTTGCCACTCCATCTGTTGTGCCTATTTTGAATGATAAGTCTCAGCGAGTCCTGCAGCAAAAGATTTGTTTATGCCATTCCTGGTAATGGTGATTTAGAGCCAATAAACTTTGGCGCAGATGCTTGAATGATCATATTTTGCCTTAAATATAAAAAAAAAACATTTAATTTTAGATTTTAGCTTTCTTAGAAATTAATCATCAATCATCTCTCAATAAATCTGACCATTAAACATACTGGTTACAGAAATGAAATGGGTTGGGAATGGAATGAACGAAGTAGTTAAAATTGCATAATGGGAAATAAAATCAGTCAAATTTTTAAAAAGTAGCTGTAATGATATTAGGTCACTTTTACATAACCAATCAAAGTTAAGACTGTATCTCTGTATAAACCAAGAAACAACAAAAGAAGCAATCTTTATATTTTTTTAGAAACAAATGAATTGAGAAGAGGCTATATTGATCGTGATGAAAATCTCAGTGGGTAAAACACTCAATAAAATACGCTACTCATTTCCCACTAGAAAGGGCCATTTATTCTTCATATTTCTTTAAACAGTAAGCTAAATTTTCCATATTTTAGGTATGTATAAATCCATGAAACTATATATGTGTGATAAAATATGATTTTAATGATTGTATTATATTTATGTCTAAAGCATTGATATTATTTTGTACAAATTATGATCCATTGAAAAATCAGGAAGAAATGCTTAAAATGTATTACTACTTTATGCAAGAAATCCTTAACACCTCTAATAATACAGGGATTGCCATACTAGACAGCTAGGCGCTGAATATAAAAGATAAAAAAGATCTTCAAAATTGCACAAGAATATGTAATTAAGTACTTTATGGCCTTCATAAAAAGTAGTTTTCTACATTATACTCTAATGTTCTGTCAATCATCATTATTATTATCATTATAGCATATTGTTTATATAAATAGTAGGTTTCATGTGGTCATATTTATTTAGTCATATATACTGTGACTATTTTTAACTTTTCAAAACTCTCCTCACACTTCTATTATCTTTCCCTCTATTCCTTCCTCTTCTTTTACAGTCACTCTTCTAATTGCATGTCATCATTTTTGTTGTTGTTGCTTGGATTTTGCACGTGAATGAAAATACAATATTTGGTGTTCTAAGTCTGGTTTATTTTGCTTAGCCTTGTGATGTCCAATTCATCCACTTTTCTGCAAATACACAAAGTTCATTCTCCTTTATGGTTGAATAATGCTACACTGTGTGATATACCATACTATTCATCTTATATACAACTACTATTTCCATATCTTAGATGTTGTTAATTATTTCACAATTACATATATAGTAGCTATTTCTGTAGTATGCAGACTGTCTTTCAGGGTTACACTGACAAGTGATATGGTTGAAACAAATCATAGTTCTATTTTTTAACTTTTGAAGGCATTATGTACATATTTCTATCGTGAATGTACTCATTTAAAGCCCCAGTAGCAGTGAAATAGGGTGTCTTTCTCCTTCAACCGTATTCTTTTCAACACGTATGTATATACATATTTATATATTTACTTATTTATTATATCCTTAATGACAGTCATTCTGACTAGAGTGAGATAAAATCTCAAGATAATTTTAATCAGAATTGTCCAAAATTTTAGAACACACATATTGACTATTTGCACTTTTTCTGAGAAGTATGTGCTCAATTCATTTGTGCATTTCTTAATTTTTTTTTTATTTTTGGTGTGTATTTTTTGAAATAAATGATTTATTTGTTCTAGTACTAATTCTCTCTCAGATGAGTAGACAGTAAAGACTCTTTTTCAATCTGAAGGCTTTAACTACACTCTGTCAGTGATTTCTTTTGCTGTGCTGAACTTACTTTTATGTAATTTTCTTTGCTATTTCACAGCTATTTGCTATGCTCTTGGAGTGTTAATTAGGAAGACCTTTCCTATAGTTTGGATGTGATGTATTTCCCTATGCTTAGATCTTTGATTTATATTAAATTGACTTTTGAACAAGGTGAGACATAGTATCCAGTTTAAATTTTCTACCAATAGATATGTTTTATCATCATTGCATGTTAAAGTAGCTTTCTTTTCTCCAGCATAAGTATCCAAAATTTTATTTTCTTATTGTTACATTTATTATTGTTAAATCTTACATGGTATTTTTCTCCTTCTCAAACTTTTACCACTTAGCCCTTTGGAACTCTTAGAAAATTATATATATATAATTATACTGACCAATGATTTTTGGATATTTGACAATCAGTACAAAAACATAATAGTGCATGTGCTATTAATAGACTTCCTATTTATTAAAAATCAAGGAAAGTTTTCCACTATACTTTGCTAATCAAATATTAAAATTTATAGTAGTCATTTGAAGAACAAGTTAAAACATATAGTCTACTGTAATACTCCAGGGTAAGACCTGAAAATATGCATCTCTGACTCCTGTTGTCTGATGTGAATAACAACCAATTGTCCCCATTATCTGGTAACACTCTAGGTTTTGCTGACCCCTAGCCTCTGTGAATTATGAGGTGTTTAGCATAGTTGCAGGGAGCAGGCATTTCTGCCGACTTTTGTGTGTGTCCTTTAACCCATCCTGGTTGCTGTTTACTGTTTCTTGCCTAAGCCATACACATGCATCGTTGATTGATATCCAATACTTGAGCACTGTATTGCAGGGGGCGGGGGGGGCTTCTGTAATCTTTGGGCAGCTTTCTCCTCTCTAGTAATACCATCCTGCAAGTCCAGCCTTCTCTTGCATTTTAAAATTCAGTAATGTTTTCTCAACTCAGATTAGTCTCTATGCATCGTACCTTAGAAATCTCAATGTAGAAGCCACACCATAATATGGCTCAGCTAATTTGATTTTCAAAGTAATGAATGATATTATTTTAATGTTTACTTTATAATATCTTACAAATTGTTCTCTGTGTATTTAATCTGTTTTGTGGGTACAGGAGCAAAAGAGGCAAAATTGATGATTGTTTCTTCATTTTTGCTCTAATATGAAGTATTAACAATTGTTAAAAATACCTGATTTTTTTTTAGGTTATATTTTAAGGTAATCTTTAAAAGTATTTTGAGTTGTATATGAAAATTGCTGTATGATTTCATATATCCACAAAGTTTATATTGTAAATAAATCTATGAAATCATGATGATTTTTTCTACTTTATTTTGTAATTATGCCACAATTTATGGTAATACAAACAAAAATACTAACTTGACAAATTTTTCTGCATAAATATTTATTTACAACAACATTAGCAGGTATCAGCAATATACTAAAATTGTATATGAACTAAATATAATATTCTAGTGTACATATTTAGATCTAATATGTAAGTTTGATAACATCTAATTGTACTGAAATATTGTCATACTATGCATGTAAAATTTATAGTTTGGTAACTGTAACTTTATAAACTTATCTTTAAAAATAACCTTAATGGAATATTTTTAAAGGTGACTCATATTAAAATGCAATGCTCAAACAGAATCTATACATTAATTTAAACTTTTATTTACTGAATTAATGATACTATCACCATGTCACCCTTCATCTGTATTCTTAAAAACAGTATTTTACCATTATGGAAGAACAGTCTGTGCCAGCATGCACTCATCATAGGTTAAACTTGTTACAGATAATCATATTGACTTACCCTTTTCTTTTTAGAATAATCACATTCTGAATCTTTCAAGGGCTTATCACCTTGAGAATATTATATTCAGTAATTATATTTGGATATTCATCACAAGATGCATACAAAATATTATTCTCTAAAATCAAAGATAGATAAAATAAAATAATTTTAAAGCCATAAAATTATATAAAAATTTGTGTTGTGTGTTAAATGCAATGCACATTTATTTTTATTACTTATGTATACTTTTATATTATTCCAAGGTAAAATAGATGAATAGAAATATTTTCCATTTTTAAATTAGCAGAAAAATTTTAGAAACATATTTTGAAGTTATAGATGAGGGATTAACCTTTCTTGCTAGGTATATATAATCATCTTAATTGTATTCGCTGCTTTATAAATACAAACTACAATACCTACTTCATAGAGATCCTGGTAAATTTGTGAATTCAGTATTATCAAATCATGTAGTATATTTCACTGTGCTTCCCAACACTAATTGAGATTTTATACTTTATTTTCCCATATTGAGGAAATTTACAATAACAAAGCAAAATTTAGAAGTGCAAAATATTTTTTTATATTTACATTTGTATCATCTTTTTCAATAAAACGTTTAATTATCTCTGAAAGACTGCAGTATATGTCTTGATTAACCTGATAAATTGGGTCGTTAAGAGACAATAAGTAAGAGTGACAGAGCTTGTACTTCGTCCAGGTGACACATGTGCATTTTAACTGGGACATTCACAAGATAGATTCATTGGTATTATAGAAAAACCAGTGATAGGTTTGTAAAAACTAAAGTTGTGAGATAATGTTTCAAAAATACCCCCTAAATGACTGCTTATATTTTATGAGAAATTTCAGTCACCTTCACTTCAGTAACATCATCCTCAAAACAGTATTTAAACTCCTTTCCTCAGTCATAAAAATGTCACATAACTCCAATGTCAACACAAATCGAAAACTGAAAAATAAAAATTAAAAAATTAGGCCTTTTTACCATATGTATAAGCATTCCATTTCCCCATGTTCAGAGATTCAGACCAGTTACTTTCAAGGCCTGATTCATTACTGAGAAGCAACACAATCCCTTTACATCATTTCTAAATTGCAGTCACTGGCAATAAATTAATTATAATAAAGGGTAGTTACTGTGAAATTTTACTTCAACTGCCAAATTCAATGAAACATAATTACCTCACTATAGATGTAATGCTTTTGGGAAATTCTGCTTTGTAACAATATAGATCTTCAAATTTGCTTTTCCGTGTGTTGTAAAATATTATTTAAGGCCAAATACATTAATAGTGAGAGTTGGCACTTCTGAGCAGATAAACATGTAACTACCATTTCCACCAAAATTATTGTCAACTTTAAAAAAGAAAGATTACTTAAAATAATTATTTGAAAAATATAATCAGTAAAGGGTAGCTGTATGGTCCATAATTTAAGAAATTTTATTTTTACCTCTTAATAGTATTGAAATTTAGAAAATATGAAAAGCACAACAGCATTCATTGCTTTCATTGCTTATATCTTTAATAAATGATAGATACATAGAGAGGAAAATAGATAACAGAAAAATATTGTAAGACAATAAAGCTGTGCTCTCCAACATCATTACTTAAAATACTTGATGTCTTATTACTGGGGCTATCAATAGTTACACAATTATTTAATGCTAACCTTTCAAAAAATCTTTTTTATTAAAATTCTATATGATGCATACATCTTTTGAATATTTCTTTGACATGAGATTTTCAATGTAGAATTTCTAAAGTATGTATGTATTTAAAGTTATTGATTGACAATTAATGTTCATATGTAAAGTAGCTATTTTTGGCAAACTATCGTGCTAAGTGCTTAAAATTTCATGGTCACACTCCATGCACACAAACATGCCTTAATTTAATGAACTTAGCATGCAGCGTGTGAGGCAGAGATCTGGCACAGAAGTAGGCTGGAGACAGAGGGTGGTATGTGTGCAGAGCTGGATGAGCTCATGTGTGTGTGCATAAAATGACTAAATTTTTAGAAAGCACACTGAGCAAATACCATTTGAATTTTCAGAGTGTAAATTGAATCGAATTCAATTAATGTGGGAAGAAAGAAAGGGTGCGTAGTGATCGGGCTTCAGAGGGAATAGCAGGGCTGAAGGCAGGCATCTGGAAAAACAGTGCCCTACAAAAACAGCTGTAGCTCAAAAACAAAAGCTGGAAAAATTCGCGATGAGGAATGCCTACTGGGTGATGGTATAGCTAAAACACATGCCTGGACTTTGGTGTTTTTCATTCTATTGATTTATGTTTTGGAGGGATGTGGGAAAATCAATGAAGAAATTTCAGTCAGAGAGATGGTCTCACCATGTCATTTATGAATGGTCAATTTGTCTACACATGTTCTCAAAACTTAGGATCCTGAAAACAATCAGCTGTGGACTCAGTGTGTTGGAGTTTACTGTGTTGATGGCTAACCTCTAATATAATGTTGCCATGATGTATTTGAAAACTAAGAAAAAAAAAAAAAAAGAAAGAAAACTAATGTAATCAATAGCACGATTTCTCATAAATGAAACTGGTCCTTGTAAGTGACACTGGTAATTGGGTGTGGGGGCACAAGTCCTCCATTCCAGCACCATGAGAGTTGAGGCGGGAGGAGAGCAAGTTTGAACGTAGTCGAAGAACTCAACAACTTAAAAGGACCTGTCTCACAATTAAAAGCAAAAAGAAAGAAAAAAAAAAAAAAACATGAACTGGGGTTATGTGCATCAAGTATTTTAAGCATTGTCTCCCTCTCCATCATACAGGCATTTGGCAGGAAGATTTCTGTTTGGCAAACAAGAAAAAAAAAATACTTACACAACACCAGGTGAACTCAATATACTGGCAGTTTAATTCTGGGCATTCTGGCTTCCATACCTAGGAGACAAATATTATTGCACCTTTGGCCATTTCAGTCTGCGCTGTGTTTGTTTCAGACGCTCTAATTGTCTAATAAAATTGTCAACTTCAGTCAACCTCTACTCTTAGTACAATAAGAAACAGAATAAAAGGTAACAGTTGTGAGCCAGAAACCTATGAAAGTTATCATTAAGGCCAGCAAATCAATGTGATAGGCCCATTTAATCGAAATATTATTAAAATACTAATCTAACAGTATTATTTTGCTTGCACATAAAGTAGATATGTTTATTCATTTTATGCTCCTAGTCTTTCCACCATGGGAGGACTTTATAAAGACATATAATTATACCCATTTCTTTTTGAATTATACCTTTATTAGAAATACTTGATACTCTATAATTTTGGGGACTAATTTAATTTTTAATAGCACTTATCACCATTGCCCTTCATCTTTGCATATATGATACAAAAAATACAAAGTATATTTGATTTTCAGTTAGAGCTCAAGAGTTCAAAATGCTAACAGTCTGAATATTTTTCCGCTTATAATTTCACATGAATATGTAATGTCTTCAGATATTAAGGTCCTCTTAAATGTGACATTTCCATATGTAAATGAAAATTTGTCATACTTTATAAATTTTAAGATATAGATATAATGCAATTCACCCACTTAACTTAGAAGACAATAAAAGAAACACTTCCACTGCACTCTTCATACTTTAAGTCAGCAGCTGAAAACGAAATCTCTTTCTTAGCTCAGTTTTTTCTTTTTCTACTATGATATTACCTATTTTATTGAGTTTTATATTTTTCTTTCACCTTTTCTTATAATTTCTTCAGTGAACTGATGATGTGTGCTCAGAGAAAATTATGTTTTAATCTAGCACTTGCTATGAGAATACTGCTTTTTCTCAAATCCTGTAAAATGTAGGATTGTACTCTCTTATTCCAGATTATGAAGACTATCCATGTCTTATTAAAGACATAATATTTCTCTTTATTTATTTATTTATTTTTTTGAGACAGGGTCTCACTATGCAGTTCAGGCTGGCCTTAAGCTCACTTTGTAGCCCAGGCTGGCTCAAACTCGCAACAATCCTCCTGCCTCAGACTCCCAAGTGCTGGGATTATAGGCGTGAGCCACAATGCCCTGCTAAGATATAATATTTCATTTTATCACTCATTGCTCTTCTGCTTGACTGATACTGTATATTTTTACAGATTGAAGATTTGTGCCAACTTTCATCCAAAAGTCATTTCATTTCTCTGTGTGATAATTTTGTAATTCTTGCTATACTTCAAAGTTTTCAAATACTATTGTATCTGTTTTGGGGTTTGTTTTCCATAATAGTCAATGTTAATATTACAAAAATTTTCAAGTGAAACTAGTTTTGGCCATAAACGAGGACCAACATATTACTCAATTAATGTTATTTTATGTTTTGATTGCTTAACCATCTCATAATTGCCCTATCTTTGAAATTCTCCTTGTTTCTCAATATTTCTTCAATATTGTAAGTAATCCAATTAATGACCTTATAGTAGTGTATTTGTGTTTGAGTGAAAATAAGATTTATACTCCTCTTACTTTAAGTCAAAATTTAAATATATTTGAAATTACAGACAAAGGCATGTTGAAGAATGAAATAAGAAGTTAGTCCTCTTGTTCCAAACCGCCACTGTATGAACGATAAAGAATAATTTTTGAAGAAAAGGGAATTACAACTCTGGAGAACACAACAATGATAAGAAAGATAACTTTATTGCTCTTATGGACAAAGACTTGGTGATCAGGATGTTTAAGCCATTAGTTTCCCTTAGGTAACTCTTACACTGAACGTAACATGAATTCTATTCAACTTCATGAAAGTTGAGAAATGTGAAGCTGTATAAAAGCTTGAAGTTAGCAGAGGTTGCTTCATGAGGTTCAATTAAAGAAGCAGTCTCCGCATCACAGAAGTGTGATGTGAAACAGCAAGTGCTGAAAGTACCAAATTATTCAGAAGACATATCTAAGATAACTGATGAGCTAGATGCAGAAGTGTATCTTTCAGTGCAGGGTAAGTAGCTTTCAATTAAAAGAAGATGGCATCTAGGGTTTTCATAGCCTGGGAGGAGAAATGAGTTCCTGGCTCCAACTTTCACAGACTGGTTGCCTCTCTTGCTAGGAGTCTATGCAGTGGATATCTTAAAGTTAAATACTTATTTATTATTTCAAAATACACAAGAATCTTAAGAACACAAATTTTCTTCTGCACATGCTATACAAATACAAAGCCTGTGCGGCAGGACTTCTGTTTACAAGATGGTTTACTGAATGTTTTAATACCAATTTTGAGATGTATTGCTCAGAGCAATGTATTCCCGTTAGGATATCACAGTTCATTGACAGCAAGCTTTGGTAGAGATGTACAATGATATTGATGCTTATTTCATGCCTGTTAACAACATCATTTCTGCAGCCTATCACTCAAACTGTAATTTTGATTTTCATTTTAAGATCACTTTTCCTCTTGTTATTTCTCCGATGCATTTAGTCAAAGGAAATTGAAAATCTTCAGGAAAAGAGTCACTATTCCATATGCCTAAAGACATTTGTGATATACGGTAGAAAATCAAATATTTGATTACAACCTTTATGACTTACCTTGAAGGGTGCAAGAGGTAAATGCAGATGTGACAGAAATAATAAGAGAAAAAAATTTCAAGTAGATCCTGAAGATGTAACAGAATACCTCAATGTCATGAAAAACATCTGAATATATTCTTATACACAAGAAGAGAAAGTAGTTTCTTGAGTAGGACTCTATTTCTAGTATAATGCTCTTGTCACTGGTTTTTGTTGTTGCTGTTTTGTTTTTATGGGTACAAGGAATGAAACTCAAGATTTTGCACTTGCCTGACAGGTGCTGTGCCACTGAGCTATAACCCTGGCCTGCTTGCCATTATTAGAGTGACAATAAGCTATTTAAAATATTACACAAAATTACTGGGCAGCATCTAAATTCAAGAGAATCCAATTTCAAAGGAAATCGTGCTGTGGTAACTTAGTCAACTTTTCTGTCTCTTCCAGCTGTTATCAGAGATAAACAGCTGAAATAAATTTTTTTTATCACATTTTCAGTGGTTTCAGTCCACGGGTAGTCGACCTCAAAACAAAGTATCATAGCAGGAGTGTGTATGGGGAGGGGGAAGAAAGCCTTAACTTTGTGGCAGCCAAGAAGCAGAGAGAAAAAAGAAGAGCCAGTGAGGTTTTTACCTATGATCAAGTTCGCTAGACTCACCCACACACCGACACACCTAAATGTATGGTTTACTAATATCCTGGGTGTCTTTCCAACCAATCAAGTTGACAATCAAGATTAAATGTTATCAATAGGACCTCATGTAATAGGAACATCTTTCATGAAAGGAAGAGGCAATCAATGCTGTTATCCTCATTGTTGTATTATTTTAGGAAATTGATTCAATTTCCTCAAATTTGTAGCCACCAATCAGCATCAGTCATAGTACCCTTGAAAGATCTTATACTAGCAATAAGATTATGACTCACATAATGTATTTTAATAAAGATATATTCATTATTTTATACTTATTATTATTGAGCACTTAATAAACTACTGTAGCATGCACATAAGTATTATATGTTATGGAAAATGGAAATATTCATTAGAATACATTGTAATATATATTTTCTATGGTCTAAAACCAAACCTACAATATCTCTGAGATTTGCTTTTATAAAGAAATCCTCCTCCTCTAAAATATTTCCCAACAGCTCCTACTATACTACATAGTTAAATGTTAAAGGGACTTCTTGAATCCCCAACTGTTTCACTAAAAAATTAAGGAAATGGCCTATTTTTACACTACTAACATTTGAATGACAGAGTCACCTGGTTTAGAAAGCAGGAACACATTAAAATCTATGTTATTTAAATTTACAAATTGTATCCTATATATTTATGCACTGCTGTTCTGATACACACAAGCTAGTACGTGCAACTAGAGTAGCAACACTAAGACAGGGCATAGTAAGTGACAAGAATGAAATTAAAAAACGAATAAAGATAAATTATAAATTCTGTTCAAAAAGAATTTTGATTAGAACATATAATGTAAAATAAATATAGAAGGAAACCTAGTAAACGGTAAAATGTGTAACTTTAACATTTTCTCTGAAAAATGCAGATAATTCCTCTAAATTCCAAGACAAAGGCTTATTGGGGACAAATATATTCTTGTATTTCTGAAAGAAATGCAGAAAGAAATGAAAATGGAGTATGAGGTATTCAAGAACATTACTTACTTAACTCTTAAATTTTTATTTAAACTCACACAATCTCCTGTAATATTTTATGCAGCCAAGTCTACATTTATAAATATTTAATTCTAGATTCCTTTATGCTGAAAGTATATTTTTTACAATTATAGTTAATGAAAGAATTTTGTCTGAGCCTTAAAATGTTATAGGAAGATACAGAAACACATGTATTAAAAACCAAATTTTAGACGTAGTTTTTTTTTCTATTTTCTATTAAGATACCAATATATCTAGTATTTTCACTGTTATTTTAATAACTGACTAGTATTTAGAAAGATTACAGTCAAAATAACTAAAAGATGGATTAAAGTCAGATTTGGAAATGTTTTTAAGAGTTTTGAATGTAAGATTAGAAGAATAAAGAAAACCAACAAAAACTAATAAATGTAGTGAGTATAGAGAGTATAGTGAGTGGAAAATAGTTTGGAGAGTATTTTATTTATGGATTAAGCATTAAGGATTAAAATAGTAGGGGACAATAAAATATACAGTAGAAAGCTATCCACTATTGTTGAGCAGACATACAAAACAATACCATAAAAAGAAATAGAGTGTGATTGGACTGTTCTGTTTAAGTGGCAGCTCCAAAAATATGGAGAATTCTGGAGGCCATTTATAACTATTCTGAAATACAAGTTAGTGTGTTTATGCACAAAAAGTGCTGTATATTTCTATTTAATCAAATAGG